TGCATTTAAGCGAATTGTCTGTGGTCGGATATCTACTGTTTGTTTGGCGGCCGGTTTACTTTCCGCACACCTTCTGCAAGGCAATTCAAGAACCTTTTTATCGCCAAAAAAAAAACCTCCAAGACCATTTTATGTATGGTTTGACGCGACTTTCAGGGCCCGGCACGCTGTGGACACGAAAGCTGAACTGCTGTGGAACCACATCATCGCCGAGTTCAAGGACTTGGGAGAAGGTAATGATCGTAATCACCATTGTCGCTGGTATGAATAGCATGTCCTAGAAAAGACACCATTTACGGTCACGATCGGTTTTGGCGTTTATCGTGAGACCAAAAGCTTTGTCCTTCACTTTATGCGATAGCAACTGGATGTTATTCCAGCTGGTGCTGTTGTGGCTATGTATGTTAAATATTGACTGTGCGGGCATGACGTGATGTAATGTCAAATTCCACAGAGCCTCCCGAGCGGGAGGGTTCAAACGCCGCCGGAACATGGTCAACTACCGGGAGGAGGAGGACCTGGACGACGACGACTACATCTGTGAGTAACCAGCTACCGTCTCATAAGCAACAACACTCAACCTGTCAGTCTCCACATTCTGCTGTGTATTATACGGTCATATCGGCCGCAATACGTGGTCTTGTTTTCCGAGTCTTCAGTCTTTTTACAAGTAGAGATAATCTCTATTTCGTGTTGTTCCAGTCTGTGACGAGTGTGACCGCGAGTGGGAGGGCGACTGTCCTGTCCACGGTCCGCTGGAGGTCGTACCCGACACCAAGGTACGGAACTCGGGAGGGTGCCGCTCTATTGGTCCATTTTACATGTTATGGCATTTGTCAGCATGTAACCTTGAACTGGTAACCACGTTGATGCCAGATGTGTGTAAGCTATTGTTATTTGTTACAGCTCACGTTACCGTTGCTCGTTATATTCTCGCTTCTCACATTAAACAACTTTTCGATGGGCACTTATTCCCTTTGTCATGTTAGAATACCCGCTTAAACATTTCAGTAGGAAAGTCTTCCGTCATAATTATTTTTGAAACTGTCATTTGAGTAAAAACCAACGTTTAATTGGACGTTATTATCATCGCAACACGCGTGCACAGGTCCCGTTCGACACTGGCGATCCTGAGAGAGACATCAAGACCCGTCCCGAGTTCCTGAACCCGGGCCGGTCCAAAATCCCCGGAGCCAACACCGGTAAAATCCTCATTATTTTATTTTATCCGGCCTGCCGATTTAGATCCCCCGAGTTACTGCCTTACGATCCTTGAGGCCGTTTTGATACATATTGCTCTTTTGTAGCGTCAATAAATTGTTGTCGTTCAGTTTCCTCAGCTCTCCCAATTTCTCGGTAACCACATTGACTATCCTCCCTTTCCTGTAACCAGGGTTGGCAAGGGGTGGCAAAAACTGGTTTTTGCCAGTGGTTTTTACCGGTTTAAACCGGCTGGCAGAAACCCTGGTGGCAAAAACTGGCAAAAACTGGCAAAAACTCAGGTAGTCAAGGCTTGCAACTTTTCTGGTAAGCAATTGATTTGAAATGAACAAATGCATTTCGGGATGTTTAAGAGACGCGCTAAGTTTCTGAAGTTTGCCCCATTAGCTACCCGGGCTGCAATGTCTATGCATGTCGGTAGACATCCGTCAGACAGACAATGCATTTCCGAAGAATCTTGGCATTTCCATGCATCACGGTTAGGGTGCTACCTATTGCAGGTGCACACGTGCAGGGGTCGCTTTCGACCAGATCTCGAGAATGGCTCTGCCGATTGCGCTCAAATTTGGAACACCGTTACAGACGGATTAGTATGGGTGTCGCAGATAAGTCAGTCGGGATCAACTTTCTACGAGCGCACGTGTGGGACGACACTTCAAGTTCTCGAGAACGGCTGCGTCGATTGAGCTCAAATTTTGTACTGATACTGTTAGGAACCAGTGAGTATGGGTGCCGTCACGTGCACAAATGAATGGCAGGCACCCCTTCGCACTTCAGCATGTGCAGCAATCACTCTTGCACTGGCTCATTTGTCGCCCCAAAAAGACGTACTGGTTAGGTACTAATGGAAAGCGGGAAGCCCATGGAAATGTTTTAATTGTATGAAACACTGGTCGAATGGTCAATAGGTTACTTCTTTTTGAAAGCATACAACTTTCACTGAATCCCCCTTAGAATGTTTCCAATTCAAATGCATGTCTAGGGAAATCATTGTAATGGTTTTGAGTTTTTGCCAGTTTTTGCCACTTTTTGCCGGTTAAAACCGGTTTAAACCGGCAAATGGCATAAACTAGTTTTTGCCGGCAAAAATGCCAACCCTGCCTGTAACTTATTATACATTATGGCTTTCTGAGATGTATTTCACAATGCGACTGCTCACATTCCGCCCTCACCAGACTGAGCCGCAGCTGTGCTTAGTCTATGACAGTTCACCACCGTTACTCCTGAATTTCCCACGGTCCATACAGGCATTTGGACGGAGAAGGACCTGCCGGCGCGGCTGAGGTTCGGTCCCTACGAGGGTATCGTCACCGCCGACCGACGACCCAGGCCACCGACTCGGGCTACAGCTGGGAGGTGAGAGAGTGGCGGGTCTGGGGCGGGTCTGCGTGGGATGTATTTTCGAATCTAAATATCAATCGCGCTTATCGGGAAACAACAAAAACGGAACCAGCCAGGGAAATCAGGGAAATTGAGAGAAAACCATTTTTGAACCATTTCAGATATTTGCATTAGTGTGGTACATGAAGAGAATAAAATGAATCAGTTACCCAAAGTCGTATTACTGGTTTGATGTTAGAAAAGCCGGTGTCTGATTGACATTGCTGTCATGGATGAGAAAGTACAGTCTTCAACATCTCTGTGATGCTGACACCCCCGATAACTAGTGACTCTTAACTTCTTGTGTTGTAATTAAACGCTAAACGGCCATTGAGTATTGACTGATGCACACTATCGGTTTTGCAGATCAAAAAGTGTCGCCGCGTGCACCACTACGTGAACGCCGGCGACTCGAGCTCCAGCAACTGGCTGCGGCTGGTCAACTGTGCCCGCTTCGAGCAGGAGCAGAACCTGATCGCCTTCCAGTACAAGGGCCAGATGTACTACAGGTAACGGTGAACGTGTCTAGCGCAGACCTTGCCCTATAGAAACTTGTTCACTGCTTCTCACGGCTGCCGTCATTCAGCTATACAGTTCGCGGCCTCATATGGTCATGGGGCGCTGGTACTTTGCAGTCAGAAACAACTGTTGAATTATTGGAACATTACTCGGTAATAATAACAGCAGCGGAGCTCTACTACTCTTTCCATTGTGGTCATTCGTGATAAGTCAATTTTTATTGCACTGTGACCCTTTTTGGCAGCAGTGATTGTATTCGGTACGTGTTAATTGTTATCGCGATCAGTGCGCACGAGATTCAAAATTCAGTGCTGACTCGTCGTTTTCTGACTCATAGTTGCACCTTTCGTCATGGCCACAGGACGTACAAGCCGATTGTGAAGGGCTCCGAGCTGCTGGTCTACTATGGAGACGCCTACGCCCGGGAGCTCAACATCAATGTGCAGACGTTCAGGAAGGCTCCGGCCGCCGCCCCGCCGCCAACAGCCTTCGTGTCAGGTGGGCGACCGAATATAGCATCTCCGATAGAATAGATATATTACAAAATGTTCAGTAGTAATTGGCCCATCAGTAAAACACATGAAAAATATCATTTTTTTCCGCGAGGCATGACTCATGGGCGGCTGACTGCCATCCCCAAAGGCAGACTGACTAGAGCGACATCTATATTACTGGCCGCCTCATCTAATAGATAAGTAGACAAGCGCAACTATGAGCTTCAACAAAATGCACATGATGTCACATGTTGATAGCACGCACATACATCCATGTATGCTGGTTTGTGGTAATCAGTATCATTCGCCAGGTGGCTCCACGGTCCGCTGCGTCCACTGCGACTACGCCTGTCTGGGACAGGAGCGGCTGGACAGGCATGTGAAGACATGGCACGGTCACATCGGCAGGAACGGACGGCACAAGTGTGAGCGGTGCGAGTACTCGACGAACGATGTGCATCATTTCAGTAACCATCGCCTCACCCACACGGGAGAGCGGCCACACCGCTGTGACGAGTGCGGCAGGACGTTTATTCAGCTCAGTGATCTGACCCGTCACCGCCGCATACACACCGGCCTGAGACCGTACGTGTGTGACGTCTGTGGGAAGGCGTTTAATTACTCCAATGTCCTAACGACCCACAGACGGATCCACACCGGGGAGAAGGTGCGTCAGTGTGAGCAGTGTGGCGCCGTGTTTAACAGACTGTCTCATTACACCAGACACATGCAGTCACACAACGGAGTGAAGCCGCACCGGTGCCAGGTGTGCTCGGCCCGGTTCGTCACACGACAGCACCTCACCACACACATGCGGACTCACACGAGGGAGCGGCCGTACGGGTGCTCCTTCTGCCCGGCACGGTTCACGCAGCAGTCGCACATGAGGAAACACGTCATCGCCCGGCACACACACTACCGACACAGGTGTGAGCGGTGTGGTAAGGGATTTGTGGCGCCCAGTAAACTGAGGAAACACAGCGAGAGGTGCACGGTGACCAGCTGATGTGTGTGCAGCTGTACTGGCGGGGTGGTTGTTACGAGCCTATTGTGATTTTATATTGCATGATATTGCCGGTGGATCAACTTATTGCAACAATGTGACTGTTGGCTGTGATCGTTGATTAGGGGCGTTGGTGCATGCTGCTTGATCAATTTTGGACTTAGTCGCACGCACACGACTCGATGACATTGCGCTACGTTATTAAATAACCTTGTGATTAGTTTTATTCTTTGTGTTACTGGACCCTATCGATAAATGGCTCGCTCATACTGCAATGGTATGCCTCATGGAGCGTTGTGTTGATGTTTTATAGTTTCATCTGTTCAATATATTTGGTGTTTGCCTATCTCGGCTGTTTCAAACATGCCGTTCACATACCATTGGCTGTGGTAAAACAGTCTATCCTATACAGTCTCTATACGGCTAGACAGCCGTGGTGCACAGTGCCGGTGCATTACCGTCCGGCCGTTCATGGTGACCTGTCTCGGTGCACCATGCCGGCGCCACACCGTCCGCGACACTGCAGTATGTGTGTGGTCATACCGCCAACACAGACGGGTTATATCACGGGAGACCCGGGGCCTGACGAACGGCAGCTGTGATTTACATTAGGGGGAAATGGAACAGTGCAGTAAGACTCTGTGGTGGTCGTGATTATACCAGAGCTCATAATATTGGAGTGAACAGAAAAAATCAACCATTGACTTCAGGACAATTGTTTCAGCTACATCACCGCAACGTTCTAAAGCCTTCAACGTTCTAAAGATTGATAATCAGTTGATAGAAGTCAACCGGTTGAACTTGGTTAGTCATAGGTAGTGGTCAGGTCTGGTTAGGGATGATTAGCTTTATCACCAAAATACTGCGTGGATGGGGCTGGAGGTATGATAAAGATAGTATATGGATCCGCAGGATATCTGTATCCATCTGTATCCTTGTTCAATGTTCATTGAGTGTTGATAGGGCCTAACGTACTAAAATGTTAACAAGCGCCAGGCCTTGACCATCCCCTAGATGTCTCCTGCTCAGCTTGCGATAGAGGCGTTTTTGGAATTTGAAGTGAGGATATGCCCCTGCAGCGTCCAATAGCGCCTGTTTGGATCCGCCAGTCTGTGTGCCACTGCGCGATTTAATCCTTATTCTGTTTTGTTTTTCCCCTGGGCCCCGGTCAGCGTCGGGACATACAGCTATGCTACATAGAGCTACATAGCAACGTCGAGACATAGCTCGGTCCCAGCAGTAAAGCTCTGAGGTAGTAAAGTAATCTTGGCTCGGTACCGCCCTGGTTTGGGCGGTAGCTGACGTCCAAGACGGCCGTTCGTCCCGCCGCTGCTCCTGTGGACTCCGTGGACGTCAACTGGCGAGACGCGGCGGGTTCACAGACACACCGGCATAGTAGTAGGAGGTGCTATGTGTTATTCGAGTAGTGAATTAAAACAATTTGTTGTTCAAGGGCGCTGTAGTTTCTTGGTTGGGAAAGCCAAAACAATCGGTAAATTTTTACTTAAAGGGACTATCCCACCTTCTAAAATGTTGTTAAAACCAGTTAAATTGTGCCCGACTTTATAGATTGGATGACCAGGAACACGGTTCTGGCATTTATTTTTCATTAAACATCTTAGGCTTCCCATATTCCAAACACAAACTTTCAAATATGTGACGTCACAGCCCAAAATTACCTCCTTCCCCAGGCCACATTACTGTCATAAAGCTGATTCTTTTTACTCTGTAGGCACCACAACAAAGTTCAGACCAACTTTAAAGCGATTTTTCAGCGAACAAACCCATTTAAATCAGAATGACTAAACGAGGTGACGTCACACTAACGGTCGCTCCATGTTGAAGATAGGGCCTTGTACAAGGCCCATTTTCAAATGAAGGGAACGAATTTCTTCAACACCAAGAGGCCGCGGGGGTTGCAACCTAGATAGATAGTGGTTTCTGAACCTCGCCGCAAACTTGGCTATCTCAACTCAAACCCGATGTTAAAGGTGGGATAGTCCCTTTAACTGTTACTTAACTGTTGTCAGTTGGCTCACCCGGCTGCCACCAGGTGGTGGGGATAGCCCTCACCCCTAGACCATCCTCACCAACATAAATACCCTCTGAAGCCTCATCAGTGGCACCCACCCAGCCGTACTTGGAGCCCAGGGTACACTGGTGTTCGGCCTCGGACCGAGCGGTCGCCAGGTGAGCGCCCATCTGCTGGCACCCGGACCGCGCCGAGGAGAAACTAGCGGACGTCGTTCGCCAGGAGATACAGCGGCCGGCACAGAGGAGCCAGCCGTCCGGACAGGCGCAGGGGTCGGTGAGTGTGCCTGGAAACGGGAGCGGGACGTGAGCAGAGGTCAGAGTGGAGCCTGTGACGATATACATAGGAGCACAGCTAGGAACAGACGTGAACAAGGTTCGAATGCGGTCACTTTAGTGAGCTGGGTTTTAACATTCCCAACAAATAGATACCTGTGCCTATGCCTACATATATGATGTGACAAAATGATACCTGGATTTGTATGTGTGCAATGGAGTGCCCATCCGTTTACCACATACAGATTACGGGTCCCTCCACAGATACCTACTTCCCTAGAAATGGTGACTTACCATGGTGACTTACCATGGACAGTCAGCTACGGTACCTCGGTGCCTCGTTGGTCAGATCATGAACTAAACCACCTGCTGCACGGTCGGTCCAAACAACCTCGCGGGTACGCATGAATACGCCCAGAAAATTCAGCATGACACAATCACCCATGCCAACTAGCTCTGCTCGGCACGCCGTATGCTACGTACTGCTACGTACATATATTCACGGGGACATGAGTTCGGTACTCTGTTGGTGCATGAAACAGACTTTTCCACAAGTCAGGAAATGTGATTTGCCGGCTGTTGAATGACTGCTTCAGCCTTAAATTGAATAGATGGCTTGGCGAACGGGCAATGTGTGATATGAACGATTGGCATTACAGTTTAAGCTAGGGCAATAACTAAAACGCTGAATAAGAAGTCGTTGTATTGCCACGAACGGAAAAACTACGCTTTTCCAATCAAAGTTCCTGATAACCTTTATTTCAAGTGTACCTCTGTCACCCTCTGAAGATTTGGCCCGTACACAACAGCACACCTGACTAAATAAGGTTGTACATTCCAAAAGTAAAGAGACGCCGTTGTCCAATGTTCTGAATCGTTGTATTAACATCATCAACATACAAATATAGGTACACATCATGAACAATCGGCGTCATTAGTACAATACACAGGACATACCTTGTATTCAACCCACAGTTCAACTATGTATCATTGTGAAACTTTTATTTTCATCTTGGCGACCGCAAACCAAGCTGTTTATGGACGACCGTGTACGACATGATCGAGTTTGGTACGATATATCGGTCACATTGTTGAAAACAGGCCATCGATATCAAGCGGTAACACACATTTTTGTATTGTTTGTCGCCGCCAATCACACACCGTCAAAAACACGGATATGAACACTGGGAGCCTTCGGGAAACAAAAACACACACCAGCAAACACGCACACAAACAACACGAACCAGCATCAGGCGCTGGCGTCGATCGCACAGTGTGACACAAGGTCAGGTCATATCAGGTCAGGTCACATCAGGTCACATCAGTTCCCCATACATCACGTCACCATTACCATCAGGTCATCACCGCATCTCATATCAGCTTCATCTATTTTCTGTCATACAAGAGCAGCTTGTCACAATGGATCCGGTCAACCTTGGTGATACAGCGCAGCAGTGAGCTAACGTGGAGCTATGAGCCATCGGTAAACATTGGCGGAGCTATGGACCAGTAGTGAGCTAATGAAGAGCACCGAGCCAGTGGTGAGCTATTAGCTATTTCCCGAACAGCTATAACAGCTATAAATGTGTCTTTTGTCTTGGCTTTACTTAATGGGTTGCCGCTACTCAAGAGCTAACAAGGGCTGTTAGGTAATTTATTAAAACAAGTGTACGGATGAGCGCATTTTCCTCAGTATTGTTTCCAAACTGTTTTGGACAAGGTGCCATACTATATCCTGGGCTGCATGCTGACCAAATTCAGATTCATATACAATCATAAACATCATTTGAGTATGATGCAGTGATATAGGTACCTTGGTGCCATAATTTTGCAAGAAAGCTAGACGACGAGCATATGTCATGTTTCAAGCTCTACATATTTCTACTGATGCAATATTCATGCTTCTTGCCCTCAGGTGCTGCTCGACAACCAACCTATATTGAAAAGGCCCAGCTCAAGGCCATCAATCTCAACCGACCTATGGAAGAGCAGCATCTGGCGGTGTGTGCTCTGACCACAAGGCTTGTGGGCAAGAGGTGCTGGCGACCCACACCATCACCGGCCGTTGCACTAGCCGTGGAGGGTGTGAGAGGGGCTTCGTTGGAGCCCAGTGCTGTGTGGCAACTAGAAATTGTGGTGCGGTGGGGGGTCGCCTGTAATGTGTTTAACATATGCAGCGGAAAGGCTGCCCATGACCTCAACTGTTTCTTGCGAGAAAAGGTGTCTCACCTTCAGCTGGACAGTACCGTAAATGACAAGGTTGTCAAAACGATTGCTGACCTGGAGGTGCGGATCTAGGCCTGGGTAAAGGTGGGCAACGGCAAGGACCAAAGAGCAGATGCGACGGTACCCTTTGGTCGATTCGTGAAGCGGTTTCTGTTTTTTTTTTCAATAGGTAAACAGTTGGTGACGACTCTGTTTTTACGGACTTTGAGACAAATGAAGATAGTTATTTGTGAAGAGGAAAATAGTAGTTGGCTGTTCATTGTCTAAGCAGCAGCCTAGGCTGTCCAACCAACAACCTAGGCTGTCCAACCAACAACCTAGGCTGTCCAACCAATAACCTAGGCTGTCCAACCAACAACCCAGGCTGTTCAACCAATAACCTAGGCTGTCCAACCAACTACATAGGCTGCCCAACCAACAGCCTAGGCTGTCCAACCAACAACCTAAGCTGAAGCAACAACCTAGGCTAA